GTTTTACCAGCTAATTTTTGTTGCTTTTTTTACTCTGCTTTTGGGGTGACAAATCACCTAATTTCTTATTGTAGTTTCTTGTGCCATTCAGAACTATATAAAAAATCCTAGAGCTTCTTGCCTACTTCCTGATAGCTAAAAAGCAGTATTTCTAGTAGTAGACACTTAACTTTGATATAACATTACATAAGAACTTCTCTTGAAAAATGAGATTTCAAATCCTGTAACTTAATGTTTCTTTCATACACAGAGGAGAAGCTCAAATTATTATTAACTAATAGTGATAGTACCTCCTTAAGCTGTTGTAAGAAAAAAATAGGTCAATACAACTAAATAATGAGAACAATGTCTGGCATTCAGCAAATACTTGGTCAATGTTTATTATTATTGTTCCTGCTATTATTTCTCCAGAGGGTACAAATAAGCCACTGGCACCAAGGAATCATCAAGAGTATTGTCTTGTTTTCACTGGAATGCTCTCCTGTTCCCCAAGCTAGACTCAGTGACCCAGAGGTGGGTAATAAGTACAACCAGAAACTCCTTTTCATATCATCCATCCTAAAGTGAGCGAACAACACTGAGCGGCCATCTTCCTTGAGTTCACCGGGCCATCCACTTCTGGTGTCGACCTTTACAATCTCATGATAATTTGATCAAATAATGTTATGGAGATAAGTTTTGAAAATTTTAAAGTGCAATTTAAACTGAATAGAAGCTTTATAACTCTGCAGAAAAACTTCCCTAGGTGAAGATTGAATGTTCAATAAGTAATACATTTTAAAATCTGCTAACCAAATATAAAAAATCCTAGAGCTTCAAAAGACCAGATTACTTCATAACATGATATATTTAGTCTTATAAATCTTTGTATTTGTAAGCCTAACATTTCAAAAGGTAAAGTTGGAAGGTTTGCATATAGCATTATACTTTTAAAACCTAAAAACTACAAAACAAAGAAAGGCAGAGTTCTTTTTACAAGCTTTAAGCCAAGCAATTGATTTTTCTAACACTCTGTTATGTAAAAAATAGGCATTATAATAGTAATTTTCCCTTACTTCATAAAATTTCATATAAAATTAAGTAAAATAATATATATGAAATCCCTTTGCAAAATGTAAATCATTCTGCAAATGCATTATTTTTATTATTTTGTCTTGAAATGTATTATGCTCACAAATATAAGCACACTAACCATAGAGGTGCATGTACATACATAGATGGAGGTTATATGTTTGAGTTCTTAGAAAGAAGTCAGAAAATTATAGCAGCACGTGGTGCAATTATTTTCCTTCTTTTCATCTATTTTTTTCTAATATGCTCATTTTAAACTTGGAGAAAATTGAAATTATGGAAATTATAGTAGACGATTCTAACAGAGTGTACAACAGAGTATACAAAGTTGAGGGGAAAGTCAAGAATAGATTCCTGTCTGATATTTAATTACTGTCTAAAATTTAATCCTATAAGAACAAATTAGAAAAAAACAAATGACCTTAATTAACTGCATCATTGACCCACCCTAAGAGACTTTGGAAATAGGTTGCTGCTCACAGCAAAGCATATCTCAAATCTAATCATGCAAACTGGGTGATGAGATCTGTGAGCTCTATGGTGGTTTTGTAATTAGTCTCACATGAGGTAACAGTGACTAACTTTTAAAAATAAATAAGAAATATATTTTTCTAAAAATTCCCAGTAATGAGTAGTAAAATCCTTTATCTAGGTAGAAATATCTTCACAGCAGAATTATTAAAGAGAAGTAAAACAGATCACCTACATCAGTCCGTACTGGTAATGTCTGCACCTGTTCCAAAGCAATTAAGTGATAAATTAGGATACCAATAGGAAAGATGTCTGTCAGGATATCTTTATCTTTGGCTCAAGAACGACCCTCCTTGTGATCTAAAATGGTCAGAAAAACAAATCATATATCAATTCATATCTTTTTTTGTTTTCCTCATTAAATACTGAAGAAATAAAAAACATTACGGAATATTTTAACTCCAGGAAACTGGATGAATTTCCCTTTTATATTCTAGATCGACTATTCTCAAACTCTATATAAGAACAATCCAAAGAGCTCATTGTTGGCCATGACTAGATTCTAGGTTTCCAGATTTCCAAATTGGCCTCTGTTGATCATTATACTCTTGTCATCTCTGGGAGAAATGGAAAAGTCAAGCACCTGCATCTGAAGAGCCATAATCTAGACCTGCTGGCAAACCACCCTCTACAAAAGGCCCACCTGAGCATCCAGGTGAGCTTTCTCTCTTTTGCCTCCTCTTCCATTACTACTCTTAAAAACCTTGATTAATATGGCATATCCTTGATTACCCAGAATTCTATAGGATAAATTAATTAACAAATTAAATGGAAATTTATTCTACTATCCCTTTTATAGACAACTTCCTAAATAAGTGCTGTTAAGAAGTAAAAATGTTTGAAACAAATACTTTCAGTGACTATTCTCTGCACAGTTGAAATTTTTGCAAGGCACATGCCAATGTTTTATGAGAAAGGAGTAACAGAATGGGAAACTAATGGAGAGGAAGCAAAGTGATTTATAGAGTCTTTGAAAAATGTTATTTATATTTAGGGTTTCCTCTCAGGTTGAGTGTTTCAAGATTTTATTACTTAAAACAGGAAGAAAGACCTGGCTGTTTCTTCAATCACAGTTCCTTGCTTAAGTAAGATTGGCTGTGCTTTGGAACTTTAATCAAATATTCAAGATACCACTCCTCACTTTTTCCTCCCTGAGAGAAGTTGCTATGTTATAGTTACATCTCGTTCAGTTTGCTCCCTACTTTCCAAGGGATATGGAAAATACATGCAGATCCAAGGGAAGAGACACATCTGGTCCCATAACCATGTATGGGACTAACTGAATGATAACTTCCACTTTTAGCTCCTGGGGCTCCTCTGCTACTGCCTTGCGACATGACTGTGGAAACCTGCTCAGTCACCTTAAGAAATATGCCTAAGACATTCATCTCCCCATACAGACACCCATCCCTTAGCAAGCAGCAAGTATCAAGTCAACTCTACATAATGCTGCAGAGGTGGTACTGCCCAACTCCAAGGGGTGCTGCTCACCCAGTGACATGAACGGAGCCCCCTGGGATAGAGCAACTGGCGGCCCTAACCCAGGGTAGCCCCTCCTGTAACATCCGTTTCTGTTCGGAGAGATTAGAGAATATTCCTCGATGGTGGTGGTGATGATGTAACTAACAATGATGGTCAAAGTTTGTGAATACTTACAATACGCTGATGACTTTACCCACATTACAAAGAAAGAAAGACCAACTGGAAAAAAAATAAATAAATACCAAAGACTTTGTGGGACCTCTTCCTGTAGCCACCATTGTCCCCTTAAAGCAGAGGGTAGGTGTAGTGGTGTTAATTTATTAGAAAATGAGTTTCATTGGATTTTTTTTAAAAAGGTAATGAAAATTATACCTAGCAGAAATATACAAGTAAGTATTGTTACCTAGTCTAGTACTAATTTTTTGACTTCAGAATTTCCTTTGTTTCCTATTTGCAAATTTTTGTGCTATCAGAATAAAACCATAAAGAGAAAAAGTTTTCTTTTGCATGTTTTGAAGATTTAAGGTATTTATTCATCAGGGATAGTTTTGGGAGAGATTTAAACAAACAAATTGAAATCAAAGTACTAAAATTAGTAAAGAAGTTTTATGAATGACCCCTCCAGCAATTCAAATCGTGACAAGTTACATTAATCACAATAAATGCAAATATTTTTCAACTTAATTGCTAGAGTCTTGGTCTATGCCTTGGCAGTCATAATTTCTGCCCTGGGTGAAACATAGATACCACTAACAGTCACATCTCTAGATTTCTATACAAGATTGTTTCCAATCTAATAAAACACATTCACCAGTTTCTGATTTTTAATTCTTCACCCCCATTCCTAACCTGTGAAAACTTTAATGGGTAAGTTCAATATACGAAAAAAACTTTGATCCTCATTGCTTTTACAGTTTAATTTCTTTTTTAAATTCTCATGATGTGATCTTTTCAAATACTTCCTTTGAAATGAAAAACAGTCAAATACCTTTGGTTAAAATATTTTCTTTCCACCACTCCTGCATCTTTAGACAATGTAGAGGCACTGAATAATTAATCACAAGAGATTATTTTATTTAAATATTGAGAACAATATAAATTGGTATTACAATGAAAAGTAATGGTTTGCTAATTTAATGATAGTGATTATGAATTCAACTCTTGAAATAATGATGCCTGTTTTTAACAGAAAATCATTTTACCAATGCTTCCAGGCAATTTCAAAAACTTGTCTTAATATTAGATCATTGCCAAAGGCCCCGGGACCTGAATAAATGCATTCCTACATTACTGTTCAAAATCTATCACATTTTAAGGGCTAATTCTTTACTATAAAATCTGGATCTCAATCTGTTACTTATAGAGAAATAACGTTTTCATGTGCTGCTCCAGAGTTCTTCAAGGCAAATGAATGGAGACATGTACTTCAGACGAAACCTGCAACCTCCTCAGTAATGGGGGAAAGTTATGTTAGCCTTTACATCCCAACTGAATCTGACTCCCCTCAATGCAACACTCAGTCTTTTCTGATTTAACTCCATGCAAGTGATGATAAATGCAACACCAGTGTCTTGAGGATGATAAACCAGAAAGTAACTTCTAAGTTTTGCTCAGATGCTTTGAACACTAGAGTCTGTCTTTTTCCTCGGTTAAGAAATAGATATACTGTTTCAGTCATCATACCCTAGAAGAAAAGACCACTTAAATGTTAGAAATTTGGCTTTGAGAAGTCAATCTAGTTTGCCAAGTATAATGACCCTATTTCTGCTCAATGAGACAATATCTTAGATGGAGGAGTGGCTCATGAAGTATGCAAGAGTCAAGAATAAGAGAAGCCTGCTGTACACTGGAGAACAGAGGTGCTGAGATAATGATTTAGGAACAAAGCTCAAGAGGAGCAAAGTGCAATAACTTACCTGCAATACTTTGGTCAAATTGTTAAACAGAGCTTGGCCAGCACTCACTTTGTATTTGACGCCTCTGACTGTGCCATTTTTGCTTAAAATGTTTATTCTTCTTGTACCAAAACCCTTCTCAATGGCAGCCCTCACTAATGCCAGCAAGTTATCTTGATCGTTCTCATGCTCATCACCTTCAGATCCTATGTGACCATTTTGCTGTCCATCAGACTCGCTGAGTCCATCTATCCCACAGATACTGGCACATTCAGAATCCAGAGAACCTGATGGCTGTCCATCTTCATACACTTCCTTCAGAACGCGCCCGCTGTGAGATGATGCGATCCGAAACCGAACTTTCCGGGGCCTGGCATGCTCTGGCTTCGTCTCCCTTTTCAGCATGGTCACATCCACCCACATAAACAGTTCACATGATTCTGGCTCCCTTGCTATTGCCTTAGTCTCCTTGATACACAGCAATATCAGAGCTTAATTCTAGTGACAGCAGCACTCATACAAAACTAACATTGAGAGGAAAGAAGATTCCCAAGAACTTACAGTGCATCTCTGCTATTAATAATGAATGTGTGTGTGTGCTATGGTTACCTTTAAACTAAAACCTGAAAAATGATCTCAGTCTTTAAATATTAAAGTCATGGTGGACGCCTTAACAGGATAAGTGCAAAAAAAAAAAGTGGCATGCAGTGAAGCAGAAAATAAATATGGGGCAAAGAAATGAAAAACTTGAACTTTAAAGCCAATGGTGAACAATTGAAAAGGATCTTAGCAGCAGAAACAGCTCTAGAGTTCATTGTCCACAGTGGAGGCCAGAGATAGATAAGGAATCAAATGTATAAGATGGGAGGTGTCATAGTCTTACAGTACTTATTTCTTCTGTCCTCTGCTATCAATGGGTGATGTTTAAAAAGGGCAATGAACATGCTACATTCCTGCATAGTTATTTATATTAGTTCTTATTAAATCATCAGACTTCATCCACATTGTATAAGATAAATTTTCAATCTACACCTTCATGCACAAATGGTTTCATTAAAGAATAAGTTTTTAACCAACTATGAAAAGAGAGAATTTTTGTTTTGTTTCCTTCGCACTTCTGCTAGCAGAAAACATTGTTCTCTTCCACAGAGCAAAGGGTTTTGGAAAAGAAACATATGGAACAATGAGGGAAGTATGGAAAATCCTCCAAGCCAGCTGATCAGCCACAGTAATCCAGGTGATCAGCATTGATAAATATTATATCCCAATCACCCATGCATAGAGAAGAGTACTCCTTGCCTGTGCTCAGTGGATTTTCTATCATTTGGCAAGCACCTGAAGAATCTTTAGATACAAGGCCATACTGAAACTCACACCACACTGCCCTGAACTTTCTGCACGTCCAGAAGAAGGAGAAGCAGCTGGCCTTTATACTGCACCTAAGTTTTTTAATATTCTTAGTTTTATCTGCTGGTGAACTTCATTTATACTTATTTTAAAAAACTCAGAAAATAATACCACAAAGTTGAAAATAAAAGGCACAGATAATCTGACTAGAGATGTTAACTTTTTTGTGTCTTTTTCCAGTGTATATGAATATGAGGTGCTCAGATGCTCACAAAATGACACTGTCCAGCCTCTTGCATTTAAAGGAAGAGGACAGGAATGCCTAGCTTTTGTTAATGGGATGTGAGCAACAGTGATGCATCATTTGTAGACCAAGGCAATTAAGACATGGGCAATAAAACTGTCCATGTAATTTCTCTTCTTTCTCCATCCATTAGCTGGATGGCCCCAGCAATCTTAAAGCCAAATACTGAGTGTATCAGAGTAGCAGAAAAATTCACAACTACCATCACCCTGCATAGGACTATGTCATGAAAAATATAAGCCTTTATTGTATTAAGCAAAGAAGATTGAAATTTAAGGAATGATTGTTATAGAAGCTATCATTACTCAATCTAACTAATGGACTTTTATATATAATCATACTGCATTTATTTAATATCTTGCTTTTTTCATTCAGCATTATATAGTGAGTCATTTCTTATATCTTTATTTCTATGAGCTTTATGTGTATATTAGAAGTCCTAATAGCTGTACCATATTTCATTTTACTCTTTCTGGACTGCTAGATGTTAAAATTATTTAAAATATTTAGTAACGCTATAGTGAATATTCTTGCTCAAAACTCAGTGTACATATCCAAGTAGTTCTTTAGTATAAATTCTACTGGGTAAAATTGATAGGCTGAGAATTTTTTAAAATGTAAAGCTTTAGGTACAAACTGCCAATTACTTGCAAGGAAAGCTGTATAATTTACACTTTCACCAGTAGATGAGTTCCTGTTTTACTGTACTCTTGCCAGTATCAACATTGAATATTATCAATTTTCAATAATTTTCACTTGGCCAAATTGAAAGCAGTCTATGTCATTGATGTTATTGTTTTCTAGCTTTTGAACACTACTGATGATGTTCATTCTGAATATTTTCTTCATATTGAACTCTTACTGAAGAGAAAGATGGAGTAAAATGAGAGACTCTACCTCATGGCTAATCAAATTGGAAACCAAACATTAAAGAATTCTATAGGGTGCCAGAAAATAATGAGAGGAGAGTGAAGTGCTGGGGGTTAGGAAGCTGTATCAACTATATCTAACTGACAATATAAAATGGCTTTAACTTGGCAAAGTAAAAGAGTATATAGTCAGAGTATATAACAAGTACTTCAGAGAAGAAACACTTATTGGGGTGGAAGGAAAATAACAATGCAATATTACATCCAAATATCCAGATCTTTCAGAATATACAGTAGCTAGTGGAGAGGGCATAGATATTAGCCTAATCAAAAAAAAATGAAATCCGATTACTCTTTTTGTCCCAAGCTTCCTATTTAATCTGCCCCAGCTCTAGTTTTCTAGGCTTTTCAGTTGGAAAGTATGCTATAACATGAGCAAGATATTTGAGTCAAAGGAACCGTGTTTCAAATTCTAGCATACCTTAGTGAGAATGTTCTGCTCACCACTCCAACCTTCAATTTTACCAAAAGTAGAGTGGAGACAGTATCTACTTGTATTTGCAAACATCTAGAACATAACATTCAATATGTCTGTGATGGTGTGCACATATGCCCTCTGTCCTATAGATAAAAATAACTGATTTTAGCCTGAATAAGGCAAGACAACGGCTATACAAGATCACAGTCAATAAACATATTTGAAGCATAGAAAGAATTCAATAGAGTGACTAGAGAGTTTGTGATATTTTAAATATATGTTAAATATATATACATATAGTGTGTGTGTGTCTATACATGGATATATACAAGTGTGCATATATATGCATATATAATATTTTTAAATAATGGGACTAGTTAAGAGTCCTCTCTTTCAGTGGTGAACTGAAAGTCCAGTAGCCTGGAACCAGTCTTCCACGAGTATAAAGAATATCTACTAGTGTAAGAAGATACATGCCCAATATAATATACCCTTGATAATTGTATTTCACACACTCACTCTAAACTAAAATAAAAATCAAGCTGTTCTTTTCAGTAGATAAATCTTTGCCACTCTTCTTCATTCAGGCAATGAGTGAGTATTCTGTAAGTATCTATTGAGTGCCACCCAAGGATAATACATTTCAAGACACTATGGTGAATATAAAAATACATAAAATTATGTCCATGCTTTCCATTAGTAACATATACTAAAGAAAATAGCTAGAGTTCAATGCAGTGTATTTAAAGCTCATACAGAATCCCTCCTCCCTGAAATAACCGAATTTCTAGTCATCACCAATTTAAGACATCAACACTATTCTCTGTTAACAATTTGTTCCCAGCTGCTTAATGTTAATATAGCAACTTCTAACTACTCATTTGCAGTTTTTCCCAGTATAATATTGATATTCCTAGACTTACTTATTTTTCTAGGTTGGTATCCTCCCTTCAGCAAGAATTTCCTTCTCTTCCTTCATATGTACTCTTGCAATCATTTAGTCATTTAACAATGTGTATTGAGTACCTACTAAATGTCAGAGAGCTGTTGGATTTATACAGGTGAACAAATAGGCATGTTCCCTGCCTTTAGAGGTAGATAATACACAATAAACAAAGATATAATAAAAATTATAACTAGCATTATTACAATTAAAAAAAGGGGCTCTAATGAGAAATTATAAAAGACAGGAGCCTACTTTACCAAATAATCACAATAAATTCCTCTGAAAGGAGACACAAAACTAGGGTCTCCCAAAATTAGGAGAGATTGGTCATATAAAGGCTTGAGGTGGGCAGGTGTAGTTGGAGATATTTCCTCAGCTGCAGTGGTGTGTGTAAAGGGAAGGCACACCACTCAATTTGTTCAAAGAATTTTTAAAAGTCAGATGATTGAACACAAGTATGAATCTCATTCTACAAAGCTCTTCTCAAAAGAGGACAATACTAGCAAGACCTTTCTTTCCTAATGTGACCCTTACTTTATGCAACAACCTCAAAACATAAAAAAAACCATACACAATATTACCAATATAGAAATATTTCAAATATTCATAAGGTTTGACACCATGGGCACCTATTCATTTAAAATAATAAATAGTAAATTCCAAAAGCTATATAAAGGATAGAATTTTGCATTAATAAAACTAGAACTACTTTGGAAAATACTGTTAATTGTGAATCCAAAGGAAAAAATTCCCATAGAAATGCTAGACTTAGGCCTGAATATTTCTTGTTCATATCAGCCTTTCAGTCAGAATATCTAATAATAATTTCCTTTTTGTGGAGAAAGCATGACATCACAATACAATTATCCTTTTCCCTGTCTCCAAATATTGGCCTACATGCTATTTTGCATGTGATTGCCATTGTATGGTGAGAAATAGTTTTAACCTTATTCATGGTTTTTGGAGTATATTTTTTTTAAATCCCTTGAATCATACATGTAATATGTGTAAAATGCATCCATTTGCTGTGTTTTATGACTATCACATCCACCATTTCATTTCTTGACCTTGGAAACACTAAAAATTGTTTATTGAAAGTGAAGAAGAAACTCTGCTCATCATTGGCAAAACAGTTGACTTTCCTCCAGCCACAAGTCTCTGGATAGGTCATAAGGCCATCCCTGAGTGCTAGGCTCAGATCTACAGTTTGCATGGGAAGAACCAATCAGTTCTTATTTCCTTACATTGCTGATTAGAGTGGAGAAAGATTTGCTAACCATCACTGAAATAGGGAAAATAAGCTATCGCTGAAACTTTTTCAGCTTACAGAATATTGAACGTTTGTTAACCAACAAGAATTCACAAATCAAAATCCACAGTTCAATTATTAATTTGAAGTGCAGAGAACTTCTAGTCAAAAACTAAGTGCATTAAGGAAAGTGTTCTTTGGAAACAGGACTATTGTCTTATTATATAAAA